ATGTCCGCGGCGCTGAGGGACTTCTTGAGCGCTGCGCAGGGCACAAGACTTAACATCGGTTTAGGGTTTAGGGGTAGGGTTTAGGGTTTTAGGGTTTAGGGTTTTAGGGTTTAGGGTTTAGGGTTTGGGGTTCAGGGACTTGGGGGGTTTAGGGTTTAGGGCTTTAGGGCTCAGGGGTCTAGGGTTTAGGGTTCAGGGTTCAGGGTCAGAGCTTCGAAGCTTGGTTTTGGAGTTGGGGCTTCTGGGGCTTGAAAAGTTTATGCTGCATGGTGTTATAGGGCTCTGTTTTGAGGGTTTTATATGGTTCGTACATGGTGGATGGGTCCATCCATCCATCTGTGTATGTTTGACTGCATGTACGAGGTGAAGCACGTGCAGGCCGTAAAATGCAGGGGCCTTGTTCTTTGGTATAGGGTGTCGTGGTATATCATAATGTACTTATGTTGGGAATATAGGCTGATGCTCGCAGTAACAACATCAACAACAATGATACGACTAGTAGCAATAACAATGATAATAACAATAATCATGTACTATATTGGAGACGTATGAAGGACCCTAATTTAGAAAACTACCCATATACAGAGATGCTTCCTGTAGAAGTAATTGCTGCTGGGAAAGCTGCTATGGAAGCTTGCAACTGCTAGCTGCTGCGGATTTGAATGACGACGACGATAAACACGAGGACTGTCCCCAAACCCTAAACCCTAAACAACGCTCAACCCTAAACCCTAAACCTTAAACCGTGGTGGGTGGGAGCGGCGGCGGAGCCCGAAACCCGAAGCCGGCTCTGAACCCCAAGTCGAACTGCTCCATTGCCTAGAGAAATAGCTGGACGGGCCCCTAAACCCCATACCCCTCAGCGCTGAACCCTGACCCCTAAACTCGAAACCCTAAACCCTAAACCCCAACCCTAAACCCTGCCTGCTGGAACGTTTGTGGAGCTTCCTGGCGTCGCAAATGGGCCTTGGTGCCCGAAGCGGCGAAGCTTCGACAAGGGGCAAGGTTTGGGTTTAGAGTTTGGGGCCCTGCACACTACACCCTAAATCGTAAATCCTATATCTTAAAGCCTAGACCCTGAACCGAAAACCCTAGACCGTAAATCTTAAACCTGACATGCTAAATGTCTAGGACTAAGACTGCGGTTTGTGGCCTCCCGGCCGATCGGTTCGATCCTGGAATTTAAAAGGTCTGGGCCTGGGGGACCTTATCCCAGACCCTCGGAAGGATCTAGAAAGTAGAACCCCTAATTTGGGATCCTAATTGCTAAAGGGTTCTGTATAGGAACACTCTTAAGGCCCTCGGGGGTCTGGGATACAGGTTTTCTGAAGGGTCTTAGGATGTTTTGAGTTTTGCAGACGGGGGTTCTTATCGGGCTTAGGGTTTGGGGTCTAGGGTGTTGTCGCTCTGTTGACACTTTTGGGCTGCGAAGGTGTCATGCTTCTGGGGTTTGCGACTGCGGTACAGCAGAGATTGGTACTACCTATGAAGACCTCTGTAGTAATGCAGGTTTTGATGGTTCAAGGTAGACCCATACACACACACACACACATCAATGTGGCCCAATAGAAGTCTCGCCTGGGTGGAACTGTGTATTGCACGCTACGGCGATTTGGAAGCAAGACAAAAGAAAACAAACGAACATGGACAGCACCGGTTGCGACAGCAGCAAAGCAAACGACGGCAGAGGCTTTATCACTGCAGGATCGGCCAAGCATTTCTCAACTCGAACCCCTACATGTCCAGACAGCTTCAGACGGAGACTAGGGGCTAGCCTTTTCGGATTATATTGGGCTCCCTGAACCCTTAACCCAAACAGATTCAATGTTACTTGCTCTCCTACTAAGAGCCTCTGGAAACGCCCGTGCCACCGGGTTGCTGTGAAGGAGGGTTGGCGCTGCAAGGCCTTCGGCACAAATGGCTGCATGTCTGCAACTTCGGCAGTATGTCATGTGTCGGAATGCATCAAATCCTGCATCAAAATCATGAAACTCTCTGCTCAGTGCGGTGGAGCAAAATTCAAGCCCACAGACCCATGTTTGGTGCCCCAGAAGTCCCATGTAGGTATTGCAAGAGCCTAGAAATGCAGTAACAATCTTTCCTAAAGTCTTGTCATACCCACCCTAACGTCATCCGCGCGTGCTGGCCGGCTCAATCAAGCCTTGGCCGGATTGGGAGGAGGCAAGGCCCGAGTGTTAAGTGAGGAGCGACGCTTTTTCTGTCATCCTTCGAGGCGCAAGGCCTCCGGTCACATTGCTCGGCAGTGAGGTGTCTTGAGCGCTGCCCGGTCCCCAAGAAAGGAAGTTTTGGGCAACAGGCTGTCTCAAGTCCCTCTTCTGCTGCTCCCCAGACTCCGGAGCACTATCACCGCACTATCACCGCTATCTACAGGTAACAGGCACGATCTGGTCTGCACCGGTCATACTGCTGCACGAACCCGAAAAAGATAGCAAGAGTCAAAGAATATATGTGCGGCATTACACTAAGTCGTGTGGCAGAACCCAGCCTGCAGATTCGACATCATGAACCCCTGGCCGAATAGCTAACATGCCCGGAATGCATGCACGCTTTCATTTCTTTGTGCTATCCAGATCTCCTTCAATGCTCCCCTAGCATGGAAGGGAACCCCGTTGTTGCCCCAAGGGTTACAGACTAACCAAAGCAAAGCGAGGCTAGATTTTGAACATTCGCACAAACCACAGTGAGAAGCCCTGATTTACCACTATCTCACTGACAGAGAGCTAGGTGCATATATGCCAAGGATTGAGCTTCGGATCTGAATGCTTCGCAAGTGAACTCAAAATTGCGGCATCCGTACTACCCCCTACCCACTGCAAGCGATCCAGCAAATCTACTCTAGGCAACACTCTGCCTCTCAGTCTCAGAGCTGCTGCAACACAACTAAGTCTGCAGCGAAAGTGCTTTCATCCGTTTGCCAAAGATGCTCTATCAGGACTTTGCATCTGTTGGAACCGCCGGCGAACTCTTCCACGATGCACTTGCCCTTGGCGTTTAACACGCTGCCACCACCTAGCTCGCGCAGTAACTGAATGGAGTCCGCTCTGCGGATATGGAACACTATCCCATCTCGCCCATCCCAACCATGCACTCGCCAAACATTAGCCATGGTGGGCATCGGTACCCCCGCCGCATACCTAAGCCACGCTTGGAGGCTCGTCAAAAAGAAAGTCCCCTGTACCTGGTACACAACGCCTTTATGAGTGCTTAGTAAAGTCACGAGTAACATCAAAAAAGATTTCGTAAGCATGTCCAGATACATTAGGGCTAGTCCACCAGCCAAACCAGACCCACAAAGCCACCGAACAGCACCAAATCCGGGTGATGCCTGAGTCATATTGATATCCTTCGCATGCGACTCCTGCTCCATAGGCTTGCCCGGCTCATGTTCAAGCCCTGTCTCTGGAGTTTCGTGTTCTGGCTCTGTCACATGTAGATTGCTGTGTTGTGCTACAGTGCGATGCAAGCCAGCCTCAGGCTCCGGAAGCTCTGCGGCATGGGATACTTGCGACTCGTCCTGCTTGGCTTGGCAGCCCTCTTGCTGCCGTGCCATCGCAGCTCTCAACTGTTCCAACTCGTACTGTTTGCTTTGGAGGCTGGCTTGAAAGGTGATCAAAGCCTCACGCTGCTGTGCGACCACGCCTTCGGATGCCGCAAGCTGGTGTACTCCAGTCTTCACAGCTCCTTCTAGCTTTTTTAAAGCCTCACGTTGCTGTGCCACCACTGCTTCCGATGCCACCAATTGTCCTCTTTTGGTGCTCAAACCTACTTCCAGCTTCTTCACAGTTTCTGCCTGGTTAGCCATGTCCGATTGCAAAGAAGCTTGCTGTTCCCTCAAAAACGTTGCATACTGCCTTTCCGAGGCGAGGTCTGCCTCCACTGCCCGTACCCTTTTCATCAACGCTGCGGCCCTGATTCTTGCACAACCTCTGGCTCGGATATAGAAGCCGATGTTCCCGAACACGTAAGGGCTAAGACCAGCAGAGACCCCAAGCAGAAACATAATTCCACACAGAAATTTGACGTTGGTGACCTGTTGCTGCTGCTGGCGCAAATCTTCGGCGTCGGCTCTCGCTTTGTCCAGCTCATGCCTTCGTCGCTCTGCCAGGGCACGAGCATCCTCCATCTCCTTCTTATCCTGCTCGCGTAATGCACGTTCAGCCACAAGCTTTGCTGACAAGTCCTCCCCATTCAGGACTTCGAGCAACATCTCTCTGAAACGATCCGAAGTCCGGCTGTTTTTGCCAAAGAGAGGCTTGAAGTCCATCTGGTCACAAACCTGGCTGCCAGTATACAAGCCCTTGCACTGCTGGGCCAAGTTTTTTCCAGCGTAGTAAACGAGGCTTGGACAGTAGAGCATGCAATCCCGTAGGCAGTTTCCAAGAAACCTTGTGACATATGGCTTGTCATGGAAGAACTCATGTGCCGTACCGAACAACCCACTGGACTGCTGAGCCAGTGGTGGTTGTCGTGGCACCTAAAAGCGCTGCACCCACTCCTCGCGTGATATGGCTACTGCGGCGAGCTCTTGCCAAGTCCTCCTGCAAAGCACGGGTGGTGGCACGAAAGTCGCGGAGCGCCACCTCCCATATCTCGTTGATGGGACGTGCACGAAGGCAGCGGCTGAGAAACATCATGAACACGAGTCACACAGTGATTTGGTAGCTATATGACAGAGTCGCATGTGTCTGATTACTTTGTCCGCAAAATTTGTGCTGCATGCTACAAGGCAGCCACTGGTACACATGTAAGTATGCGCATGCGTTCTCCCTAATCAATTTCCCCTTGCCACGAAACTCACCTCGCCGGACATTTAATTCTATAAGAATACTTTAAGTGGGCGAGACTACTTTGCGGAGGAAACCATGGGGGGGGGGGGGGGTCCTGAGGGACATTTACTGAGATTTATGTATGTCCTTGGTTGCCAAGCTTCTTCATTTCTTGTGTTTGGTCTTTTATAGCAGAACTCTTCAACGATTCCACAGAAATTGAGTCGGGATTAGAGGCTGTCCTCATGTTGAGGCACTAACTTGACGAAGCTCAGACTAGTGGTGCTCGCTTTAGGGCGCTCGCCCTCTCTGTCTGCCTGTCTGTCTGCCTATCTACAAATATGAACATGTATATGTCGCTCTATATATATATATATATGTATACGAAGATGATTTAGACAAAGATACAGATACAAATGCAGATACGAGGCTGGCCCCCACTAGAACACAGTCAACCAAAATTATCTGCCTCGGAAGTGCTCTCCTCGGTAGACACCTAGAAGCCTGCTACAACGAAAGGACGTATTCAAGAAAGATCGCTGAAGTAGGGGCTGTTGGAGTCTATGTGCGCCGGCCCCGGAACAGAAAGCTATCCGCGAAAAACGAACAAAGGCTGCATCAACAACTTTGTATCCTCTCTGACTTCAAGGTTGTGCCTTGCGGAGGGGTGAGGATGCGCTAAGGGCTTCGAACATATAACCCTAAATCCTAAACCCTAAACCTGTCGAAATCCTTTATACCGTCTCGAGGGTCGTGGATATGGGGCGTCCGATCAAGATCCTTGTCATCAACCTGGACTCTACACCCTAAATACCTATAACGCTGGAATCCTACAACCCTAGAGCAGGATAGCCAGAATATAAACGTAAAATCCTAAAACCCAAAACAACCCTGTATACCATGTAAACCTACCCTAGACCCTAAACCCTGTAACCCTAAACCTTAGTAGGAACCCGAATAGGACCCTTACAGGATCCCTGAAAAGAACCCGTCTAGGACCCTATTTGTGAAAGTCGAGTTGCTTTGGTTCGGAGGCGGCTCTCCAACCGTATCAACTGGGTCTCCGGGTTTGGGTTTTTTTGGAAAATGGGTTGTTATGCGGTTTAGGGTTGATAGGGCTAGAGGGTTGTGAGCTACAGGCTTTCGGGTACTTACAATCTATATTTCAACTTTATGGCAAGTTTAGGAGCTAAGGTTTAACCCTGAACTCCAAGCCTACAAGCTACAACACCTCCATCAGTCCGCCCCCCTTGAGTAACATTTCAGAGCAACCGTCCATAATAAGACGGCATACAGCGGCCTCTTGTAGTAACCCCTTATAGCAACCCTCTTTGGTAAGCCTAAACCCTAAACCCTAAACCCCAAACCCGAAAGCCCCCCCCACAACGCGCCCCGAGCCTTGGAGCCCGAGGCTGCCCATGTACCCAGCCTGGCCCCGCAGGTTTGGGGGTCTTGGGCCTTTAGGGTTTTGGGGGTTTTAGGGTTGAGGGTTTAGGGTTTAGGGTTTAGGGTTTAGGGTTTAGGGTTTAGGGTTTTAGGATGGGTTTAGGGTTTAGGGTTTAGGGCCTTTAGGGTTTAGGGTTGAGGGCTTGGGGTTTAGGGGCTTAGGTCACATAGGGGCTTGTAACAGTCTGCAAGTGCTCACCAAGCCTCTGAGAACGTTAGGGGTTTAGGGTTTTAGGTTTCAGGGTTTACGGAATCGGGGTTTAGGGTTTAAGGATTTAGGGCCTTCTACAGCGCTCCACAATTCAAACAATTTACTGTTTCTTGCACGCTGCTGTGCGGGATTCCAAACTTGATAGGGGTACGACTCCACATTAAAGTGGCGTGAACATTTCGAACAGGCCTTTTGGGCATACTATGCTACAGCCATAGGTCGAGGTTCTGATTAATCACCATCACAATCACCGCTTTTCCCTTCTGTTCCGTTTCAATACTCCAAAATAGCTGTCGACGGACCTTAGTCGGTTAGCAGACGCCAAGAACAAGAAGAACTGTGCGAAAAAGAAGCCGGCTGCACAATTCGCATTCGGAAGGATAGAAATGTCCCACCGGGGCCAGTGTTTTCGTGCTTCGAGACAGAGAAACCCTAGTAACAGTGGTACTTTGAAAGCATCCAAAACAAACATGTTCGTCAAACAAGTGTACCCATGGACCGTGCCAAAACCCCATGGTCAGTAAGGCGCGCGTTACCAGGTTTCGGGGTGCACGGTCATTCCTACAACGGCCAGCAATGACGACAAGAAGAGGTTGAGGTTATCAAGATAGCACCGAAAGCTTGTAGCCCAACCCTAGAGCCCTGTAACTCTAAAACCCTAAACCCTAAACCCTAAACCCCAAACCCTAAACCAAGAATCCTGTAGCCCTTTAACTCTACCACCCTGAAAGAAACCCCCTAAACCTGGCCCTAAACGGCCCGCCTTCGAGGGGAGGAGGAAACTCTTGCCTTGGCTTTGAATCACCAGGCTCGGGGCCTACTTGGAGGATCATGGGACTTAGTAAGTCAGGTTATAAGCACCCTAATTGGGGTTATACTTATAGTTACCTTATTTATAACCCTATTACTAAGTCCCATGACCCTCCAAGCAGGCTCGCGGCCTAGCTTTACTAAAAGTTTTAGGGTGTAGGGTTTAGGGTTTAAGAAGGGGTTTATGTAAAGCTCTGGGGTTTAAGGCGGGTCAGGGGGTTATGGGGTTAGTTATAGGGCTCAACCCTAAACCCTAAACCCTAAACCCCAAACCTTTAAGAAATGGTTTACAGGGGTTTTTTTGCCTTACTGAAAGGACTGCAAGACTCAGCATCTGCGCTCCTTTCTTGGGGGAGTTAGGGTTTAGGGTTTAGGGTTTAGGGGGGTATAAATTATGCTATAACCAGGGCTACCTTACTTCTAAGCCTAAATATAGGGGCCTTAATAATTAGAACGGGGTTTTGGGGTACGTTATAACCCCAACCAAAATAGTACAGTATGGGTAATTATTTAGGCCACTATAGTTTGTGCTAAGTCCCCCGATCCTCCGAGCAGGGCTCAGCAGATTAAGGATCTGCGCCAGGGTTCAGATGTCGACTTACTTGAAACGGTTTTAGTGTTTTGGGTTTAGGGTTTAGTGTTTAGGGTTTGGGTTTAGGGGTTATAACCTTCCAACGGTTCTGGTGTTTAGGGTTTAGGGCTTAGGGTTCGGGCTTAGGGGTTGTCACCTTCCGCTGGGCAGCACAGCCAAAGGACTACACACGGAGTGCACAAGTCTGGGCACTCGTAGTCGCGGATCAAGGGAGAAACGAGCAGAAGTGCAACTCGATACGATCGGAACCTGTCAGCCTGAGCCTTTGCGCAACGTGCCTTGCGAAACCCAGACAACATGCCCCCACATCCTAAAACAAAACATGGCACTGGCAAAAAGTTAAACATACTTGACAAGTTTACAACCCAATGGACAATTCTATGATGCAAAGTAAACATCCGATAGTCAAGCCCTACAAACCATGCGAAAGGGAACTGCGACAAAAAAAGCACAAAATGCAAACAAGAAGGGTAGTACCTGGTTCTAACGTGAGTAGTGTAGCTACTCTCTGATAGTATTGGTGTTCCGACTAATAAATAGCAAAACAACCCAATAACCATCGATACAGCACAAGTAGAATCAAATCGAGGAAAAAGAGCACGCTAAACCCTAGATCGCCTAAACCCTAAACCCCTACACCCCTAAATCCCTGTGTACACCTACGTAAATCCTGAACCGATCTCTCTTGAAACTTCCGAGGTGCCATCCAACTCTGCGCCCGGAGGAAGAAGGAAACTTCCGCCAGGTCCCGGAAGCTCCGGCGGGAGCCTGGGTTTGGCCCAGGACGGCTGGTTCGACTCTGCTGCGTTGAGCCGCAATACCGCTGCCACCCCGAAGCCCAGATCCAAAACTCGAACCCCAACCCGAAGAGACCCACACCTACTACAGGCGCCTTCATAATTAAAACAGGGTGTATATTTTTAGGTAAGAGAATTCTGCGGAACCCGAAGGGATGAGGGTAGTAGTCATTCAGGCTTCTATAATACACTTCGCCGCAGATCTCTTGAGCCTTAGAGAGCTCATGCATCAAAGAAGCTGGTGAAACACCAAAACCCTCAGTTCCACAACCCAGACCCACGACCACAAGCCCCCAATGCCAAGAAGCCCGAAACCCCTCCCCCTCGTCTCCCTGGCGTTCTTCAGACAACCTGAACCTTCCATCACGGACAAACCTTATAAACCCTCCAACCCTAAACCCTAAACCCTCCAACCCTAAACCCTAAACCCTAAACCCTCCAACCCGCCAAAGGCCCGGCAGTGGAGGCAGCGGAGGCAACCCCGGCAACGGACCGACATCCTCGGGACACTGGGCCTTTTCGTTTGAGAGTCTGGGTTTTTTTTAAGTGCACTAGCCCCTTTCTCCCGCCGAAGCTAGTCTGGGGTTTAGGGTTCAGGGCTTGTGAGATTTTCAGCGACCTGAAGGGTCCAAATATTCCATAACTTGGTTGGGATCGTAGCATTCATAGATTTATGAGTGCCTGTAATGCTTATGTATCTGGGCCCTCAGGGTTGTGACTTGCAAGTTTTGGGGT